GCACACATGCCAGGCGAGCGCGCTACCGCTTGAGCCACATCCCCAGCTCCATTTTTCTTAATTTTAAAATTTATTTTATAATATTGTACACAAGAAAAATTTCAGTGGTATACAGAATAGAGTGAGATAGCTGGCCCTGTTATGGACTTGAAGAATGAGAATGGCACAAAGAGAACATAAAAGAGATTATTGCAATAGTTAAGATACAAAATGAGGGCTGGGGATGTAAGTCAGTTGGTAGAGTGCTTGTGTCGAATGCACAAAGCCCTGGGTTCAATCCCTAGCACCACGTACACACAAAAGATATGAGATGAAAAAGTTTTGAAGTGTGAAAATCATGGTGTTGGCAACTGCTGTCTTGTAATCAGAATTTAAGCCAAGGGTGGTGGTGCATTCCTGTAATCCCTGCCACTTAGGACACGCGGGCAGGAGGACCACAAGCTCAAAGCCAGCTTCAGCAACTAAGCAAGGCCCTTCTCAAAATAAAACAATTAAATTAAATAAAGACTGGAGATATAGCTCAGTAGTTAAGTGCTCCTGGGTTCTAGCTCTAGTACCATAAAAAAATAAAATTAAATGAAAAATTTAGTTAAGGGGTGACCTGATAATTTTTATTCTGGGTGTCTCACTTTGATGAAAATAGGCAAATCCAGATGGCAAACCTCTTAGAGCAGAAAGGTGAATTGGCAAACCTTAATGGTGGTAGGGAATGTGTTATGTTTATTTGGAAAGAAACAAGATATATATATATATATATGCATATATGTATATGTGTATATATACACACACACATACATAGTTAATATACATTATATATATACACAATATATATTTGTATAATTTTTGGTTTGTTTGTTTTTGTTAGTACTGGGTATTGAACCAAGGTCCTGGAGTCTTTTTATTGTGCACCTGTGATGAAACTCTTATGAGAAAACCCTTGCATATAAATTGTACTTAGATTTATAGTTTTTAAGGTAAGATTGTGGTGGTAAGTTACTGTTTTTAGTATAAACAAGAGACTAAATGAAGTAGGAACAAATGGGAACAAATGCCTGGTTTCTTTGCCTTGGCATCTTATTATTTATATTTAATAAAATAATGCTAAAACTTTTTAAAATATTTTTAGTTGTAGACAGACACGATACTTTTATTTATTTTTATGTGGTACTGAGAATCGAACCCAGTGCCTCACACATGCTAGGCAAGTGCTCTGTCACTGAGCCACAACCCCATCCCCACAATGCTAAAATTTATTTCTAGTATATTTAGCTGCTTTATTTCTAGTATATTTAGCTAAAATTTATTTCTACTATATTTAGTATATTAGATATACCACAACTGGTATATCTCCTAGTATGCTGAAGTTGTGTTCAATTTTTCACTTTCAGGTTTAAATTGATAATATGAAGCTTTAAAGAATCTAAATATATGAAGAAATATTTTCTACTTTTGTGTTTCATGTAAATAGAGTTATTTTCTACAGAGAGGATGTACCCAGTGCTTTTTAGATATTCCTTCAGTCCTCTGGTATGCAAGTACTTTACTCTGTATATCTTAAAAATAATTAGTGATTAAACTTCAAACATATTATCTACTACTATTCTAGTGTCAGTAGATCTATTTGATTAAAGCATATTGTGAGATTTTTAAAAAGTTGATCTCTGAATTAATCTGTGCAAATCAGCTTTACCTTTCTGTTTCTTCTCTTGGCTCTATGATAAATTGGATGCATAACCCTGTTATCATCACTTTTATTTTGATTTAAGATTTTGAGTTCAACTAAGCAAATCATTCTCATGAATAAAATTTAAAAGGTTACACTTTAAAAAAGAAGAAAACAAAAGTTTACACTCAAAATGCATTTATAATCAAATGCCACTTTTAGCTGTTTTTTATTAGGGTTCAAGATTGTGTGTGTGTGTATTTATTTGAAAAAAAGATTCTACTCCAATACATACTTGAAAGCTTTTATAATATGCTCTGATTGTTCTTTTACTATCACTTTTTGCAAACTCTGTACCTCAAAACTAATAAACAGGAGCTGGAGTGCAGTGGTGCACGCCTGTAATCCTAGTGACTCAGGAGGCTGAGGCAGGAGAATCACAAGTTCAAAGCCATTCTCAGCAATGGCAAGTTGCTAAGCAACTCAGTGAGACTCTGTCTCTAAATAAAATATAAATTAGGGCTGGGGATGTGGCTCAGTGGTTGAGTGCCTGTTACTCCCCCTACCACCCCATGAAAAACAGTTAACATATGCAGTGTTCATCTTGGGGGATTTAAAGTACAATCTACTATTGTGAATTTTGAAATGGCTTTTTTTTTTTTTTTTTTGGTACCTGGAATTGAACCCAGGGCCACTTAACCACTTAGCCACATCCCCAGCCCCTTTTTATGTTTTATTTAGAGATGGGGTCTCACTTAGTTGCTGAGGCTGATTTTGAACTGGTGATCCTCGTGTCTTAGCCTCCCAAGCTTCTGGGATTACAGGCATGCACCACCACACCTGGCCAAACTGCATGCTTTTTAATAGAGCAACTTCAGAAGTGGTGTTTGGAATATCAGAATCTTTTTTCTCTACTTCTGTTTCTCAGACTCCCTAGTCTCACGGAAAGCAGACCAGAATATACTTACCATTCAGCTTTGTTCAGGAGTGCCCTTACTAAGTCATGTCATTAGTGCTACTTTCTTGAGGTGTAAGACATACTTTTGTAGTTTTAATACTCTTACCCTGCATATTAAGTGAAATTGCATGTTATATCAGATATCACATACTGTTTATGTCTTTCAAAATTTTTGGGGGGGTTCAGTAATATATTATGTCTTTTGTTTTATATGTGTAATTGTTTATCCTCAAGGGACTATATTTTTCTTCAAGGTAGAAAATGTTGTTAGCCCAGATAAATCGGGATTCTCAAGGAATGACAGAGTTTCCTGGAGGAGGAATGGAGGCTCAACATGTTACCTTATGCCTCACAGAAGCAGTAACTGTGGCAGGTGAGGAGTCATATTTGAAGGGACCACATGAGTTTGGTAATATCATTTATCTTAAATAGAAATTTATGACACTGTATTTACTTCCCTGTAACTTAATTAGAGGTAACATAAACCTAGGCCTTTCTGAGGTTTTGTTTTGTTTTTTGGTACTGGGGATTAAACACAGTGGTAATTAATCAGTCAATCACATCTCCAGCAATTTTAAATTTTTAAATTGAGACAGGGTCTCACTAAGTTGTTGAGGCTGACCTTGAACTTGTGATCCTCCTGCCTCAGCCTCTTGAGTTGCTGAGTGTGCCACCATACCTGGCTATTATGAGCATTTTTTTTTTTTTTCTGATGTGGGCATTGGGTATAGCAGGGCAGGGAAATATTTTTTAGTAAATGCTAAAAGAGATTCCATTTTGGTCTCTTTAAGAATTAGGTAAAGCAACCTGCCTATTGCTAATCTTCATTTTTTAAAAAAATTAATCAGCATGCACATATAATAGTTATCTAAAGAAAGTAATTTTGTTTTATAATAGATGGTGACAATTTAGAAAATATGGAAGGTGTAAGCTTGCAAGCAGTAACACTTGCAGATGGCTCTACTGCTTACATACAACACAATTCTAAAGGTATGTGCCTCCTAAATAGCCAGTTAGTTAGTACCAGCAATTTATAACCTTAGCATTGGAACCCCTAGCAACTATACCTCCTTCCCAGTGTCTCCTAAAGACACTAGATTGCTTATAATAATTTTGAATGATTTTTAACTTAAATTTTGATAACTGGATAATTTTGGGACACCCTTTTAGATAATAGGAAGATACTCTAGAGTATCAAATTTAATGGGAGAGAGGAGGGAAGGGAGTATGTCTGACCTATTTCCTATTTTGAGCAAAGCCATTCTTTTGTTTTATAATTTTAGGTTATTATTTAATGTGTTTATTAAACATAAGGATAGACATTTGGTTTTGCTTTTGTAACATTGTCTCTAAGTTACTGCTTACTTTGCTCCAGGAAATAGCCCAATTCTAAAACTCCTTGTTTTTATGGGAACCTACTGAGCACAAATGTATATACACAGTGTCTGTATTCCTCCCAGGAGTGACAGTGACAACCAGCCTCACATAGGCTGACACACTGTTCAGCTTCCCCATAGTCAGGGTCACTGATTCTGAGTGGTTCTGAAAGGTACCTTGAGGTTCAATTCATGTAGCTTGCTGTGATGAGCCACTCTTCCTCTTGTACTTGTTTGATTGAAAATTGGAGGGGAGGAAGGATGGCTGAGGGAGGATTTTCTGCTTTCTATAGGATCACTGGATGTGTTATTGAATTGCCTCAGAACGTTGAGGGAAGAATCAAGATGAACATGAGCTTAAGTAGTGTATGTTTTTATAGTTGATATCATTTTGAAATTGTATAAAGTTAAAAAATTTTTGTTTGTACTAATTTATTGGCTTGAATCTTTTGTTCCAGATGGGAAGCTCATTGATGGCCAAGTCATTCAGTTGGAAGATGGTTCTGCTGCCTATGTTCAACATGTGCCCATACCTAAAAGTAGTAAGTATTTAAGATACAACACAGGAAACCTCCTGATTCTCTGATTTCGGTGTTTGCTGCCACCAGCTTCCTCATATTACCTAAATTTGGTCCTGATTTCTAGTCTGCCTTTTTTTGAAAAGGGAGATAAGTAGGTGCCAGAGGTAGGATCTAAAGACCTTTTTTGTTGTTGTTTTTTTCTTCAATACTGAAGATTGAACCTAGCACTGCTCTAGTACAAAGCCATAACCCCAGCCCTTTTTAAAGAAATTTGAGATAGGGTCTTGCTAAGTTGCCCAGGCTGGTCTCAAACTTGCAATCTTCCTGCCTCAGCCTGTCAAGTAGCTAGGATTGTAGGTGTGCACCACTGCACCTGGCTTAAAGACCATTTTAATGTAATCAAGACTGAGTCTCAAAGATAGTGGAAAGGAAGTTCTAGAAATTAGTGGGTAGCAGTCCTAGGTGAATGTGTCTATTATTTGAAATGAATCCTACATTACTCTTTTTCTTCTTTTTTCCCCTACTTTCAACTCTCTCCCCCTCTTGTGTGTATTCCTAAAACAAGTATTCTATTGCTTTTAAGTGCTTTCTCAAAGCAGCTTTATTGACTCATAAAGTAACTATAGGTTGTCATCATGCATTTAATAGCTAGTTGATTGTTTTTTGCCAAGTTAGTTAATTGGAACATGTTGGAAAGTATGGGACCTAAATGTAAACAATTATTTCTTGAGCAGGGGACAGTTTGCGTCTAGAGGATGGTCAAGCAGTGCAGTTAGAAGATGGAACCACAGCATTTATTCATCATACCTCCAAAGGTACAGTAACTTTGAAAATATGAAGTAAGGGAGAAGTGGGAGTATGGGAAAAATAATACCTGCTCAAGTGTCGTCATTTGAAAAAATTGTATTTATCCTTTGAAGTTCAAGGCACCTGGCTTGCACAGTTAAAAAGAGAAAGCTTTCTCACAATTTGAGCTGCCAGAAACCATTTGGAACAGTAAACACTATGGACTTTGGAGTCATAATTACATCAATTCAAATCCTGGTTTCTTTTTTTTTTTTTTTTCCTATCTTTATTTATTTTTATGTAGTGCTGAGGATCGAACCCAGTGTCTCACACAGGATAGGCAAGTTCTCCACCACTGAGCCACAACCTCAACCCACATCCTGGTTTCTTTACAACTGATTTTGACTATTACTTGTTAGGTTTTTAAAAATTTCCTGGTTCCTAAGGAAAGTGACTTTTCTCAAATTCTGATTCCCATTTGTATGGTAGTAAATATACCTGTTTCATAGAAGTTTTTTGAGAATTAAATGAAATAACATAAAGCACATCATCTGGTGTTTCTAGTACTACTCAGTAAAAGTTTATTCCCTTCTTCTTTTAAATATGTAACTGTTTGTCAAACCTTAAGGCCTTTCTCTTCTACTCCTTCAGATAGTTATGACCAGAGTGCATTACAGGCTGTTCAGCTGGAAGATGGCACCACAGCCTATATCCACCATGCAGTGCAAGTCCCGCAGTCTGACACCATCTTGGCAATTCAGGCCGATGGGACAGTGGCAGGGCTTCACACTGGCGATGGCACAATTGACCCTGACACTATCAGTGCTTTGGAACAGTATGCAGCAAAGGTATGGTATTTTACTTCAGTACTGTCCCAGGTACAGCCTCTTTATTTTTCATGGAAAAAAAAAAAAGTACACTTTATTGGGAAACTAGCAATGCAGAACCAAAATCATTCAACCTCAAAGAGAACTGCATTTATCTTAAAAAGGTGAAGTGTAAAAAGATATATTGGAAGAAAAAATAAGGGAATGGAGTAAGGACTTACAGAAAATAAATGAATTAGCAGGTAATTCACAAAAAGAGATATTCAAGGATGAGTGCTATAAAAGAAATAATAAAGTATAGATATGCCCAGCATGCCTATAATCCCAGTGGCTCAGGAGGCTGAGGCAGGAGGATCATGAGTTCAAATCCAACCTCAGCAACTTAGCAAGGCCCTAGGCAACACAGTGAGACCATGTCTCTAAATAAAATATAAAAAAGGGATTTTGGCTTAGTGGTAGAGTGCTTTTGTAGCGTATGTGAGGCACTGGGTTTGATTCTCAGCACCACAAATAAATAAATAAATAAATAATCATCCACAACTATATATATATATTTTTGCATTGGGAAACTAGCAATGCAGAACCAGAATTTCTGTAATGTCACTCTACCACTGTTAACAAACTGTTAGCAGTGGTAGAGTGACATTACAGAAATAGAAATATTGCAGAAATCCAGTTGAGCTTATATTCTGCAATCCAAGGCAGTTTGGGAGACCAGGCAATTTTCTTATTGTCCCATTCATGGAATTTTGTGGATCCTTTCTCTGTGACTCACTCATTACACACACATACACACACACACA